AAGCGTTTCTTAGAGGGCCCTTTCGTGATGCTACGCCTAGCCCTCAAACTGGCGTCTCGACTGATGACGTCATGGACCTTAACAGCGGCTTTAGCGCACTTGGCGCCTGTCGTCTTTTTGGTGTTATGCTTTCACCGATGCCTCCTTTTGACGGAAAGGCTAGGAATGCGGGCTGCTTCGACACACCTAATTTCAAGTGCGCTGCCTTTGACAGGCACTGCCAAGGCTCTAGACTGGTTAGCTAGCCTTTCTTCGGGCCCATTGCTAGCTGTCTCTGCTTGCGACAGAACGGGATTCCCGATGTCATCAAAGCCAACAAACACGCCTAGAGAGCTTTTGATCTGTGAGGGTCTATCGCTGTCGTGGATAGCCCTAACTGTCTGGCCTTCGAAATCGGCCTCATGCTCTCTTTGACACGATTCGTCCTGATCGCGTGCGCTGCGAAGCGGCTCCATCTCCAGTGCTTTCCGATGTACCTCGGTGTCCTTAGCTATGCGATGGGCCTCGGCCCCTAACTCCTCGCCCTGCACCTCAACGTCTGGCTCTGTCAGGCGCACTTTGGCATCCTGCACCTTGTGACGGGTCTCAACGTCAGATACCTGTCGACTTTCCTCAGTGCCCCGCTTTCTCTGACGCACTTCAGCGGCTTGCGCATAGCAACGAGCCTCGGCGTCTTGCGCTTTGCTTCTGTCCTTATCATCTAACACTTTCCAGTGAGCGACATCATCAAGCGCCATGTGGCGGGCCTCAGCCTCCATCGCTTCACGTCGCGCCTCATCCTCACGCTCTTTTCGGCAGGCGTCTACCTTTAGCGCCCTTCGACGTGCTTCAGCGCTGTCTCTATCGCTCCGACTTTCCCAGTCAGCAGGACTCGAAAGAAAAATATATCTTATCAAGGCATATCTAGCATGACTGAAGTCTCCTGCTTCCTCGAAGGGTAAGCAATTCAAAACATGCGCAATCTTGCGCGGCAACAGCGTGGCGAGCTTCTCCACCCAAAGGTCGCGGCTAACACCAACATTACAGCAGACAACTTCAAAACCATCAAGAAAATGCGCGATGTTCTCGCCTGTCTGAAATTTGTGGAGCTGGTGTTTCGCTCGCTCCCACTTAAGGGCTTGAATTTTAAGATCAAGCTCTCTCATTTTGAGAGCATGCTCTGTCGTTTTTCTGCTCTCCTCGGCTTGCCACTGTTCGTGACTTCTAGCTGCTCGCTCTTCGGCCTTCTGCTTTTCCTCACAGATGAGCTCTCAAAACTCGTCAGCTTCCTCGGCCATAACATTCTCTGCTCGCATCACCTCGAGAATCGCTTCCTTTGTTTTAGCGGACCCGGCGGAAATCCCCATGGCTCCACAAATTTCGAGGAGGTCCTCCACAAGGTATTGCTCCATCGCGATCTCGTCCCTCATGATGCTCTGCTACTGATATTCACCATACTCCAAAACTAATCTCATAGTTTAAAGCCCGTGAATAATAAATTACAACCAACACAACACAAAACACTCTCCTAACATCTGCCTGTGCTAGAGAGGTCTGGCGAAATGAACAGTAAACGTTGGGCACTCACCCAACCAAAGTAGCCAACGATGGTCCAACTCGTGGCTGCCGTCGAACAGTGTCAGGCCTTCAGGGATCCGGTCCAACTTGCCAATGTTGAGATCCGGGGTTGCTTGTCCCAGCTTGCTGAACGATGAGAACAGGGTAGCGTATACCAGCGTATTCAAATGCTATATCAGGTCGGTCGTGCTCGAGCTTCCAGGAGTTCGATCCGGCGTGCCAAACGTAGGGTAGCGTATCACAGCGTAGCCAAACGCTTATCACGGCGGTCGTCTTCGTGCTCAGAGATCCGATCAGACTTGCCAAACGTAGGATATCGTATCCCGTAGCTGCCAACCACTGTTATGAATTTGCTCTGTCGCGATGGTAGCGGTGGCAAAGAGCGGCGAGCCGTCGAGTGGACTTCGCTGAAGCCTTAGCCCGAAGCCGAAACAGGGAGGCAATCCGTTTTGAAAACGGCAACAAAAGGAGCGTTTACTGTAGCAGGTTGTCGTTTGTACAGAGCCGGCCAGCATGACAACGTCGGCTGGGGCAAAATCCCTCTAACATGGGGCCGGCACGGCCTTACATAGCGTTTTGGGACTCTTCTGCGAGACCAGTTCCCCGTAACGGCACAGTGGCTCGGCTGAGGAGACGCAGCCCTACCCGGAACTGCAAAGTGGTTCGGCGGAGGAGGCGACGTTATCCCCGGAACTGCACGGTTCTTCTGCACGGAAGGCGGCGCTGGGAGGGGGGGAAGACAGTTCGTCGGAACAGGGCTCGATCTCTTGAGACGGGCTCCCGAACGAGGAACATGTCTGTGGCACAACAACCTCCAGAAGCTGCGCAGCCTAGTTTTTCGGGGACATGCGGCGGTTGAACGATGGCGAGGGAGAGCGGCGGCGCGTATTTGAACGAGAAGGGCGGCTTTGAGGCGGTGGCGACGACGGGACAGGGTGGCCGTAGTCCTCAGGGGCAGTAAATGCTGTAGACTCAGTGCGGGTCGGATAACGGTGGTTTGGTAGACGGAATGAGTTACTGTAAGCGGGGTACGAGCCAGAAGACATAGATGGCTATTGGCTGCGGCAGTAACGCGCGATGTGTCCTGCACGACCACAGCGGAAGCAGATTGGCTTATCATCAGCTGTTCGCCATTCAGATGGGTTCCTGGTTCGAATAGAGTACGGACGGCGGCGTCTCATGTCCACAGAAGCTATCGAGGAACCAGTATTATCCAGGGTGGTTGCAGTGGACAGGATACCAAGGTTAGCGAATTCCTGGCGGACAACAGCCTGGATCAAAGCGACAGCTGGTGTTGAGGCGTCGGGCAACGTCGGTTTGTTGGCAGCCGGGTAAGTGGTCTCGAGTTCACGTCGGACGATGGACCTCACGTCTTTGATTGTAGACGGATGACAAGAAGTGGCTTCGCAAGACGACGTTGCCGGGGTGTTGGGTAGGCGCTGAAACTGCTGCAAAGTGCGTCGACTCTTCGCCTGCTCGAGACGGCGGCACTCTTTGATCACGGCGTCGATGGTCGTTACGTTGGTAAATACAAGCAGGCTGAACGCGTCGTCGGCGATTCCTTTTAAAACGTGCGAAATCTTGTCGGCCTCAGTCATATTGGGATAAGCCCTTTGATACAACGCTAAGACGTCGTGAATATAAGTCAAGTAGGGCTCAGTGGACGTCTGTGTACGTACAGCCCATTGCTTTCGGGCATCAAGCTGTTGACCAAACGGGTTGCCAAAGAGCTCACGGAGCTGTTGTTTAAACATTTCCCAGCTTGTGATTTCGTGCTCGTGGGTCTCAAACCAGATGCGAGGGGTCTTGTCAAGATAGAAAATGACATTCGCAAGCATAACGGTTGGGTCCCAGCCATATTTCTTGCTGACGCGCTCGTACATGCTAAGCCACTTGTCCACATTCGCGTTGTCCTCTCCAGTAAAGGTACCAGGATCACGAGGTTGCGTTAGGGCGACGTACCGGGTTGCTGTCGTTGCTGAGGTAGGTGGCGAAACCGTATCCTCACCCGGAGCCATGGTAGCAGACTTAAGGAGGCGTCCACTGCGTAGCTCTGTTGTCAGAAGAGCACCCAGCACTTCCAGCAAAATGTTACGTGGAAAATAACAGTTGTTAGTCTGCAGCCACAACGCAGCTCACCGACAACGTCCACTTCTTCACTCTCAGTCTGAGGCACCTTTCTTGGATATGCCCCACTATGCCCTCTTTCAGTCAGCCGAAATCACGTAACAATATCTTTAGTAAGATGAACTGGCGCTCTTTGTCCGTGAAGTGGACTTTGCACCACAAAACATCAAGCATCATCATCATCATGTGTCATATGTCTGCTCCTCACACAGCGTTAGCAGGAAGGCTCTCTTCATTGCTGCATCAGTGATGTTGTTAGCCTCGAAGTAAAATTAAAATGGCAGGCATCCAAACCACGATGACCATGATGAGCCGTTGAGTTCCGGTAGCTGATGTTGGAGCCCGTACGTAGCCATGACTTGCTTGTCAAAAGCGTTTCATAGGGCAAGTCCAAATTTACTTTCTCGCCACTGTTATGTCCGGGGTTGTCGGCATCCCATACACGTACTCCTGAAACGGTAGTGAAAAGGCATAGGCAACCTCGAACAGTTAAAACTTGTTTATTCCTACTCGGACGGGGACGGCAGTCGAACTGCTGTGGGTAAGGGAGCGGCGGATCGTTGTGTCGAGTGGGGGACAGAGGAGGAAAAATGAAGAGGAGTGTTAATGACCGGAGTCGTTTGCAACCGGTCGTCCACTGCTTGGTTGTGTACACCTCGGAGGCTCGCTCGGAACCCAGGGGTAGTTTGGGACGCAATACCAATAAAACTTTATTCTCTTGGGAGAGACAAAACATAATGTTATTTTTAACATGTGCATTATGTTTGTCTTGTCATGCAAGTTTCCCTATAGCCTGCAAGTATGCCAATAGTATAGCTGGAGGCTCGATGGTGTCTATTGGTGCTTGTCATTGCTTGGTGCTATTTTTGGTCAGGCAATTATTGTTCTTGGAATGGTAAAAAACATGTCGTATGTGCATTGTTCTACATGATACCTGTTTGTGAAATTGTCATTTAATCTTCCTACCAAATTTTGAACTACCTGAAATTCAAAAAAGTGCAAGGGAAATTAAACCACCACAATAGCACATTGGATGTGCCATTGTGGTGGTTTAATTTTCAACTTGTGTTCATTGTGCGTCCAAGGCCCTGTTGCGATGCCTTCACTAAGATGAGTTTGCCTAGGTTCATGTGGGCAACGAGTCCTTCGCACCTCCTAACTGCATTTTTCATGTCCATGTCTGGCTTTGTCTGATTTTTATTTGGACAATTTTTCTGCCTAGTGAAGGACCAACAGCTAGTAGGCTGCATAAAATTTAGCACTCAGATGGGTGGTATTGTTCTCAGTCTTGCTTTCGACTTGTTCTCGTGATGCAGGTGTGGTCGACTTGGCAGGAAAAGCTGCCCCTGGGATTCCAGATGGTGTGGCACTTAGGTGAGTGCTGATCTAACAGGTTTAGAAATAACCTAAATGCCTATGCCCTAGACACGTTTGCCAATTTTTTGTCTCAGTCTTTCATTATCTCTGAGGGATTGATCCAGGTCATTACAAAAATAAATCACAGCATATCCACAGAGTGAATGGTGATTGGTCGGGCAAAGCATTCGTCAGTCTGTCCGTCCATTCGTTCTTGCTTCCGTCCGTCCGTACATCCGTTTTTCTGTCTGTTCATTTGCCTGTCTGTCCATCCGTTCGTGCGGCCGTCCCTCTGTCTATCCGTCCGCACGTCCACCCGTTTGTCTGTTCTTTTGTGCATCCGTCAGTCCATCTGTCGATTTGTATGTCGGTTCGTCCGTCCATCTAGTGAACACTCCAAGTACAGCCATCTCACATCTTTTCATCATGTACTCATCATATAGAAGTGCCGCCATTATGCCGCATAGAAGTGCAGCCATATAGAAGTGCCCACATTTTAATGACCGCTATTTAGGGAATGTGCCACGGGTGGTTACGCACTGCAATGAGGGACGCACAAGCCACGCCATAAGGAGCTTCGCCCTAAAGATCTTGGTGTCATAGACCCTGAATAATCAGCCAATGTTACTAGATCCTGACAGTTGTTAAACTGTACTTGGGAGCAGCGTAAAAAAGTGGCCCTCGGCCGTCTCCTCTCATAAGGTGGCGCTGCCACTGCGATCGGCCCACTTGCTACGGAAGCTTCGCAAGGCAGCAGCTTGTCGCCGTACGAATGTTCGCTTCTCTTTATTTCATTCTCTTACGTTCCACTGCTCTTCTTAGCACCAAGTATTCAAGTAATATCCTTCTTACTTGGTGCATTCTGTAAAAAACAGCTATTGGGTAAATGAATTGGACACCGAGGCTTTTTGTGTGTGGTATATTTTTTTATGTACGCATATAATGGGTCGCTAACATAAAAATACAAAAGTGCATTTGGCAATGTTCACATATAATGCTCTTTCTTGTTTGCTACAGCTACCTTGTGACTGTCTTCTAAACGAAAATTCGTATTCCTCGCGTAAAATATATCAGCATAAATATGAAAAAATTCACTTTGTGCGCCAATGCTGGAATATGATCTGCATAGCCAAGAAGGGGGAGGCAGCACCCCTCTAGATCATCTATATCCTTCCAGAATATGTCTCCGCACTTTTTCTTTGTCTTGCTGCTCGCTCTAATGATAGTGGAAAGCTTGTCAAGGAGTGATGCAAGGCCTTTGACGGCAACCGCGTTGTCTGTGGAGCACACTCGTTCACCATGGTCAGAATCATTGGGCACCCCATTTTCATTTTTACCTTCGTTTTGATTCTTGCAGCGCTTAATAGCAAGGGCTGGCTGCGCAGTTGGAAGCTTGCGCTTTTTTGAGGGCTTTGATAAGTATTTTGGACAACTGGGCAAGAAACATGCAGAGTCTTCTTTTAGCGTCCACTTATCACGTGGTATGGTGACCACTTGTCTGTTGACGTTGTGGATGAAATATCTCACTGGAGTCTTCTGATTTCTAGTCAGAAGACCTCGTTGGATATTTTATCCAGCGAGGTCTTCTGACTGCAAGTGCAGGTCACACACGGCACGAGAGCTGGTAAGTTCTTTGTTGAGCCTCAGAATGGCGCGCTGTCATTCGTGATGACATGAAGCAGTCTTCGGCGGCCTGAAAAAGTGCCTCTTCTCGCTCGAACATCGGACTGAGTCATAGCCAGGAGGTGGCACACCAGGTTCATGCCCCTTCGGAATTTGTCGCCTTGGCACAGAGAGCAAAAAATGAAAGGGTGGCCTCTTTAAAATCTGTGGGGGAGCACGTGCGCCGTTTTCATTTCCTTTTTATGGCAGCGCTACAGCCTAGTTGCGGGGACATGATTGTCCCTTCGAGAGTCAATAAAGCTTCTTGTGGGAGGATGGAACACCCCCGCGGCCAGCACTCGCGATTCTCCCTTTTCCGCTGCGCGGGATGGGTTTCCCTTCCTTCAGCGAGAAAAGGTATTATTTTCGTCAGGGAGAGGGAAACCGGGGGAGTGAACAAAAACAGTATGCGGCCGGCTGCATACGCTCTCTGACACCGGCCAAGGACGAAGGAGGTGGAACCCGCAACCCCCTGCGAGCCGAGGATGACAACGACCAAAGAGTAAGCGTCAACATCTTTGTTATCTGTCTCTCTACGTGACATTTATGCGCTATTGCTAATGTATAGCAATAAAGTGTCGTTTTGTTGACCTAGTCTGTTGCCTTATTCGTCCGAACCCATGTAGCTGTAATGAGACAAGCTACCGATAGGGGACGTGAATCGAGCACAGTACGACTGTGTGCAGCTGGAACATTAGCTAGGCTTCTGCGTCAGCCGTACATAGGACAGACCCCCTACATCTGGCACCCAGTGTAACGGATTAGGCAACGCAGTTAGTTTTGTAGATGCGAGCAAATACCGACGCTCCTCCACACGTAAGACAACAGGCATGTCGTAAGTCCAAGATTTGCCAATGTCGTCTGATCTCGAGTCGCAAAGTGGCGATCCTTTCGCTAACGTGGGGGCACTGAGGACTGTCTGACAGCATAGATTTTGGTCATTTCTCATGGGATGATAAAGACGGTGCAGAGATCGCGTTAGCAGAGATTAGGCCTATGACATTAAGCGTCACGCATGGCGCTCCGGCATCTCGAGACGCGAACAGCGAGGCGCTGCCACAAGTTGCTCCGACATGTGCCGCAACTGTAGGCGAGTCTGCGAGCAACAGTATGCCCTCGAGCGAGGTACTCTAACAGAATGCACTGTCAGTTATGCAAAGCCTCGCGAGCACCCTGCAGAGGACAGCGCAGGCCCCTGTGCAGACTGTACAACCACGTGGCAAGGTAGACATAACAACCTACACTAGTTACCACGACTGCAAGAGCGCGAACAAGTATCTTGACCGGTTGCTCCATTATCAACAAGCGATGGGCTTTCTGACGCCGAACTTCTTGAGCGCGTGGTTCTGGTGTCGCTCACGGAGCAAGTAGCTCGATGCTACCGACTAATCGGACATTGCGCCCACACGATAGAAGAGTTCCGTGACAGCTTCCATGGCAAATTCCTACCGACTAATTATGAGTGGCACTTGCGGAGGATATTAGAGCTTCGCAACTAGCATCCGGACGAATCCTTTCTGGAGTATGTACGGACGATGAACGAACTGTATTGTCTCACTAGCCCATATGCCGCGATCGCGAAAAAAGTCGTGCACGTTACACATTAAGCGCACCGGACTTTTGCGGCGCACTTCAGAAGATGTAAGTTCGCAAACCTTGAAGAACTCGCCATCGAGGCAAAGCGCATGCAAAGGGACATCCTCGCTGCGCGATCGTATCGCCCACCTCCGCCCGCAGCACAGTCAATCGAGCCTCGCTGTGCGTGAAATGGCGGCACGGTAGCTTCAGAGGCGTTTAGGGGTAACATTCGCTGATGAGCTGGTACCGCCCGGTAGGGAGCTGTCAGACCGCACTTCGCACCCCTACGCTTCTGCTCTCTTTACAGCCCACGCCGCCCTCGCACGTGACATTCCACGCAGGAGTGCGTGGTGGGCACGAGGCCTTAAGAGTGGCGCAACCCTGAGCGAGGGCCACCTGATCGAGGCGACTTACGATCAAGCCGCTGTGGTTTCCGTAGTCCCTGTGTCAGTGCGGCGCGTCGGAGCACATCGTCCGCGAATGCGACCGCACACCGGGTAAGGAGCAAACGCACGGTTTGGAAAACGGATGGCGCCGCCCGTGATCCACATCGGACCCTGCTGTGGCGATCAGTAATTCCATTGGTGCATTCGAATCACTTACAACGTCAGTCTGTCGCGCAGGTGAGGCCGTAGACTCACCCGCACCGCTAATCGAGTGAACGATAGCTCGAAAGAAGTTCGTAGCACTTTTGAATACTGGGGCAAGTGTTTCTTTATTCGGTGATGATGTGTTGCACCATCTTCGGGAAAACAATATCCGCTTGAGACAAAGCAACACCATTTTCTGCCTTGCTACGGGCACAGCACAATCGAGCGGCGCGGCTAGGCTAGTGATCCGCTGAGATAGAGGCACGAGACGACAACGTTTCGTGCATCTTCCTGGGCTGTTATTGTCTCTAATCCTGGGTCAAGACTTCCTCGCCAAGTCAGGTATTGTCATCGACATAGGAAACGGCGGTTACCGAGAGCGTGACAGAGACACGCTAAAGCTTTTCTCGGGGACCCCCGCATTGACAAAAGCATGCCATTCGGAGGAATAGTTCTCGAGGAAAGAAAGCGCGCCGAGAAAGTGAGTAACCACCCGGCAGGAACAAAGTGCTGAGCTGCAGGGAAGGTCAGTGCACCTGCTTTCGCTAGAAGCACAGAGCCTGCCAGAAGGGGAACGAGCGCAGGTGTCATCGCTGTTGTACGAGTATGACGCGATGTTTACTGATCGTCGTCACAGCCGCACTACGCTGGTCAAGCATAGAATTGACGCGGGTGATGCACGACCTTGTAAATGGAATCCCCGACTGATCAGCTTGGCTAAGCTGAAAGCACTTGACGCTGCCTTGGACGAACTTGTAGGCTTATGCCACTGGAGCGAAAGAGAGACACGCCTGAACGATAACCGATGCCAGCCCGGAACGTGAGCCATGGCTTCACGTGCCACGGCCTAGCGCCTTCTTTATTTTCTTCTGTCGCCATCGCGCGCTCTCCGGTTCGCGCGCCGCCCAAACGAGGTTGCTACAGGGCCCCCCGTGTAGACTGGAAGTCGGAATGTGACATGCTGTTTGTGGTATTTCAACGGAAGATCAGTCGTAGATGAGAGGCTTTCTAGGGCGGTCTCCAGGTACGCCGGCTTGAGTCGGTCCAAGCTGACTGTCTCTTCAAGGCCGTTCTGAAGTAGAGTGGCAGTTTTCGGGGGTGCGGTGAAGGACGCGGAATGGTCCGTCGTAGGCTAGTGTCAAAGGTGGTCTGACCGCGTCGTGGCGCACGAAAACATGTGTTGCAGTG